GCGTCATCAAATATATATTTTTTAAAAACAGTGTAGTTTACAGCAGAAATGGTGACAAACGACTCCTGGCACGAACTCTGGCAGCTGATACATAAAAATGTATAATAATAACAATAATAATAATAAATAACACACCTGTGGGAACTTTGCCTTGTTGTTTTAAAACGCCATCACTCGCCACTGAGAAGCCGGGTTTAATTTGAAGACATTGTGCCTATTACTATTTTTCTGTAGAATGTACATATCCTACTACTACTACTAAAATGAAACAAACATTATTTTTTAAGGAATAATCACACAACATTTCCATGTTTTAATTTTAATAGTAAATCCCCTTTGTTTGGCAAAAAAAAAAAGTTTGCTTAATTTTCGATAATTAGGCTAAAAGATAAATGAAATTTATGTTTTATGCCTTCATTTGATAACCAGAAAAATTAATACACAACACAGAATTTGAGGGAAAAAAATTCATAAGGCTACTTTAAGAAAAAAAATGAATAAATTAAGTTGTTTTATGCACTCAAATAATTAGAAATGCTAAAACACAGAATTTGGTAACAATAAATTTTTTTTTTTACATTTCATAGGGCCCTAAACATAAATTGATGTGAAAATGTATAAGTTTCATGATTTTAATTAATTAGACATGCTTTTTGATTAATAAAATTTAATTTAACTATTAAAAAGGATTCGAGAAAAATTAAAACGGAAAAAAAACTGAATCCAGAAAAATTCAAACAGAAAAAATGAAATTTGAAAAAAAAAAAAAAACAGAATTAGGAAAAAAATGAAACAGATTTCATAGGGCCCTAAGTTAATGTGGAATAGCTATTCTGTGTGTGTTCTCTGAGCTGATTCTATGGCATTTCCTAACACACTTTTCCTGTCGAAAGTTGTGTGTTTTGTCATGCATTAAAGGCACAATATGTAAGATTTTCGTAATAAAATAACCAAAAACCACGTGCACATTGTTATATATTTCATGTAGTTGTGCACTTATGTTATTCCAAAAGTTCCCAAGGATTTGTAAATCCAGAGAAATTTCAATTTTAAATAATGGCTCGTCCCGGTTCATTGTCGCCTATCAATGACGTAATATCCACGCTATCGGTTTCCGCTTGTAGAAATTATGGCAACACATGTGGACAAAAATGCTGCTGCAGTTAAACTAAATCCATTACGGCAGATGAAAATGAAATGAAAAGTGTTGGTTGCAGCATTTAATTTAGATCTGCTCAATGTTGCACCATGAATCTGAGTTGAGTTTATGAACGCAGCGGCCAATCAGAGGCGTTTAGATGAGTCATCGCTGAAACACCGGAGTTTTGTTCAGTGTGCGCGCTCACTGAGTGTATTCTCTCATCATAAACAACAAAGTGCACATATACGTATAATGTAAGTAGGAGATTCATTCATCAAACAGTGTATAGACAGCTTTACTGATTATAAGGGGAGTTTTTTGAGAGTGTTTAAAGAGGTGGTTCACTGTTTTTTTTCTTGGCTTGATTGTGTTTATGGGGTGCAGTCTAACATGTTAATGCTTGGTTTAAAAAAAAACGCATTCTTTTTCACATAATTTACCTTTATTCCAGACCGTTCTGTCCCTTCTCTGAGAAAAGCGCTGATCTTTTCCTGTTTTTAAGAAGCCCCGCCCTCAGAAATAGACGATGTGCTCTGATTAGTTAGCTAGCCCAGTGTGTTATGATTGGCTAAACCGCCTCTAGTGCGCGTCTAAACATCCCGCCCCTCAGCGGCATGTGCTCCGGTTGTATTGTAAACAACGGCGTCGTTAATATCGCTTCAGTTTGAGCCCGATTGAGAAGCAGAGGATATTATTGAAGAGGATCGTGTAGAACCTGTGCAAGCACGGCTTTTAATGGTAGGCCTATGTTTTTTGTTTGTTGTTGTCTCATACTTTTAGATACGCTGTTATTTGTAAATGCTACTGCTTATGTTAGCTTTTAATATACGGTTTTATTCTGATTACAGCTTTAATACAGTACGGCAACTGCATGCACGCCCATGTATAACGCTTCTCATAGCTATGTGAAAATAAGTGTATAATTGGAACAGTTCATTTTTGGAGCTGCAGAGAGATGCAGAGTGTGTGCAGGGCAGGGGGACGCGAGGAACAGGATTAAGAACTGCTGCTTTAGAACATTGATTTTGAAACTTGTGAATCCATTAGAATCGTTAGAAGACACAATCGCGATTCATATATGAACAGATTTTGACGTGCACCTCTAGTTTTCTCTTCCTCTTCTCTAAAGCGGCGCAGCATGGCCTCGCCCCCTTTGCTGTGTGTTCCCGGGGCGGGGTTTATTTGGGTTTGTTATGTCACGAACCCGGGAAGTAACTTGTTGTAGTCCCTACCAGCCATTTTTGTAGGCGTTAAACCACCAGAATTTTAAAAGACGATATCTCCGTTTGCATTGAACTTTCAGCTTCGTAATTTTGCAGATATTGTCTATGCTCAAACAGCAACATTACACACTAACTAACGTAAAAAAATTGAAATCGCAATCAACCACCCCTTTAAACTCGCGCTAGATTGAAGTCAGAGTAGTCAGACATACTGTTCTTTGACAATGTAACGTAATAAAATGTTCTTTGCTCACTTTCTCTATATAATTGATTTGCTGTTTGGAAGACTTTGGAAGGTACAGGTAATTAAAAAAATTAATCCATTACATCTGATTGTTTGTATCTTGTTTTTAAGCCCATAAATAATGATGTACTCGTTCTAATAAATTTATATTGTAATGTACTCATACTAATATATATAAAAAAAATTTAATCTTAGCATTGCTTAACACACTTTCTACATTTAAAAATAAAAATGAGAAGAGTTCTAAACTAATGCGCTGTCTTCACTGTATCTCACGCACATACGTTTAGTTGATAGATGCGGCACTCACCGGGTCTAGCGGTTGAAAACGTACATATTCTGCATTTAAGAGTGCAATGATGTAAACTTGATTCATTCAGCCGATAAAAATTCAGTTCACTTTATATTCCTACTATAGCGGGTCATGTGATACGTGAGGAATTGTGAATATATTTTCAGCCCATCTGCTGAACAAGCCGAGCCCATTTCGTTCTATCTGCTGAACCAAAAAAGTATTGAGTGAAACTGTTGATGTGTTTACTAGAAAATGACTGTGGGGGCCGCAGGTTTGTATTCAAACAGTTTTTATCAACACTACTGCTGCTTTTTCCCTCTATGCTTCAAAGTATTACACAAAGGTGCCATTATCAAAGCCTTATTTCCCAGTAGGCCTAATAATCACTCCTAATAGCACGATGAGAGGAAGCCTGCGAGACCACAGCACCTGTTGGCTCTGCTCAGAGCAAATCTTAGAATGGAGTTTTCTCATAGAATGGAAACGATAGAGACCAGACCTATATACCTATTTACCAGTGCACATTTTTGTGATTTTGGTAATGGTTTAAAGTGTTAACCATGGGAAATTATTGAAATGCATATAGAAAAGTTGCTTGTGTGGTTTTAAATGTTTACTTCCATCTTTACACTCCTATCCATCTCATGGGTTAAGATGGCTGTGCCGTTCTGACGGGCTACCGGAGGACCTTTCAGGCAGGTACGGACAGAGCTACATGTGCTGCTTGTCTGTCCGTCCCTCACTCTGCCGTTTTTCATCTTCTGCTGTGTTTCTGCTTCATATTCATTTCTTTTCATTATAATTCAGCTTTTTATTATGCTTCATCAGCATCCCAGAAATCACATTGTGACAAGTGTGCTTGTCTGTGGCACCAGATATTTGGGGATGTGAACCTTGCTCCAAATGCTAGCGATGTTTAAGGAAAGGTTGAAGCCTTTGTCCATTCTTTCATTCCATTGCCTCATGTAGCCTTCAGTATGTCAACTTGGTTCGTGACTGTGCTGTAAGGCTGGATATGAGCGTATGTTTACAGCTGCTTTTATCAGAAATGCTGTTGCTTTGTGGTTTTGTTGTATAAATTGATATCAATGTTGTTCCAAAATAATTGAAGAATGACGGCAGCACAACTGGCAATTCAAAATGTAATAAAGCACAATCGAATTAACAGAACAACCATTCTGAGACTGTAATCTAATCTGTCCATGATGGAACATATATTTACTTGCACTAATTTTCATTGTTAACTGTCTTTAATTTGATTGGCAGCATTAGACTGCTCACTAATTGTGATATCATGCACTAGGCATATGTGTTGTGTGTATCCTGGTACAAAAAGAGAATGCGCCGCCTGACTGTTCCCCACAGGAAGTTCTATTATCCCACAAAGTTGGCTGCTCAAGCATTAAAGTCGTTGGCTGACTAACCAATGGAATTTCTGCCAAAGTATGTGGGGAAGAGAGCAAAAGTGTACTACTGATCAAATTATGTGTAGTGTGACATTTCACTTCAGCAGCTATAAAATCGAACACTGTATTACACTGAGTGTATTTAATTTGGAGCTGCTGTTCAGCATAGAAAAATAAATAAACGATTCTGAAAATGTAATATGTCTCTTGAAACAGTGGAATGAATCAATTTAGCTGTCAGTTGAATACCTCTAGTCACTGGTTTACATTAATACTGCCCACCTTTGGTCTGCGATCTGCAGTAAATGTGGGCAGGAACTACTGTACTGAAAAAGCCCTATTTTTATTTAACCAAATATTTCCTGTTTTCATACACTGTGCAAACGTGCAAAAATCATACCGTTTAAGAGTAAAACAGCTTGTCACCGGGGCAGTACTCTTAAATGTTTTTGAGAGTAGAAAAGTGCATATTAGTACCATTGAGTAGAACTATTTTCCTTTAAGGTACTGCTTTGAACATTTTAGGGGTAAATAAGGTAAAAATGTTTCCCTTTAAGGGTACTGCCCCAGTGACAAACTACAGAGTGTGTAGAAGAGCATGAATTCTTCGGGGTAGGCAGGTTTCCTGTAGACTATATTGCATTTGTGGTTCTGATATGTACTGATGTAATTTCCTCTGTCTCTTTTGCAGGTAATAATGGCAGTAATAACTCCATCTCTGACCGAGGGACACAGCTGCCTGGTCATCGGGAGGTAAGATGTCAGATATTTTCATCTCATTTAGATTATCTTTTCAGTTTATGGTTCAGGTCTTAGGGTTGTGTTTGAAAAAGCAACGGATTACTGCTGTGAGTGGTATTTTGTAATGCGGTAAATAGGTCACATTCTGAGGTTGTGGTAGTTTAAACGTGTGAATATACTCAAACCACGAGGTCTCCCTACTGCTTCAAAAATGTTGGGCCAATTTGAAGTTAAGTCTAGTATAACTCTTGAAGACAGATCAGATCGATTGGCCTGTCTACCACTAATACATTTATAATGCTCACCAAAAGCAATATGAAAAGTGTTTTTGATTAATTAATTTGTGAACAAATTAGGACATTTGTGATTTGAATATAGATTTTTAACAATTTTTTGAACAATTAATTAAAAAAAAATAACTAAGGAATATTTTAAAACAGAACATAATTAAATCTATAAATCTGTTTTATCTATCTAGAAATTACCATGAATTATGTGATTTTTATGTTTTTGAAAATTCCCTGATATTTCCATGTTTTCCATGACTGAAGGATCCCTGAATATATTCAAACTTGCATATGGTAAGAAAATGTTAATGTTTATTATATAAAGGTGAAGAGGTTTGTTGCTCCTGTGATGGACATTGGACCTTTTTAGTGTATTGTTCAGCTGCATTAAAGTATAATAGTACTCACTTTCCTCAGTCTTAAGCACTGATTTTTGGCATTTTTACAGGAAAGCATATAAGCGAGCATCAGTCGATTATAGTATGACTTTGTGCTGTTTCTCTTGCTGGTGCACTTTGCTAATGATACTTTCTTCATCTTAGTGCAGTTAGCAATATAGAAGTATTTGTGACCCTGGACCACAAAACCAGTCATAAGGGTAAATTTTTCAAAATTGAGATTTATACATCATCTGAAAGCTGAATAAATAATCTTTCCATTGATGTATTGTTTGTTAGGATAGGGCAATATTTGGCAGAGATACAACTATTTGAATATCTGGAATCTGAGGGTGCAAAAAAATCAAAATATTGAGAAAATCACCTTTAAAGTTGTCCAAATGAAGTTCTTAGCAATGCATATTACTAATCAAAAATAAAGTTTTGATATATTTACGATAGGAAATGTACAAAATGTCTTCATGGAACATGATCTTTACTTAATATCCTTATGATTTTTGGCATAAAAGAAAAATGTATAATTTTGACCCATACAATGTATTTTTTTGCTATTGCTACAAATATACCCCAGCGACTTGAGACTGGTTTTGTGGTCCAGAGTCACATTTTGGCAAGCTACATGCAATGGTGCATTTTTGTCTCAATATCTCACTAAACCTGGACACAGATAAAAAAGAATAACTGCAAGGTTATGGAATTAGTCACCCTTGTGATATCAGTTTGGTGAGAGGGCATCTAGAGTTGAAGCTGTAGCTCTGCTTTGTATTAAATTATGAAGTATTACAATGAGCAGCACTGTGATCTCAGTCAGAACAGTATAAACCAGATCATCACAGGAGAGTCTCCAGGCAAAGGCATGTGTCCCAGAGGTGTCTACAGTAAGGGCCAGTGACCCACTCTTATCAGAGGTCTCTGTGTGAGAGAGTGTGCAGCTTAGTTAGCATTTGCTAGCACTGCTTGCTACATGAACATTTTGTAAATGCTCTCACCATTGGAGCACTTTATGAAAGTTATGCTAAAACTGAGGTATGGATACCCTATTCATAGTCAGGACCTAGGAGAGATTGTTGCTTTGTTAGAGCTAGCTTTAAATGACTAAATTGTACTTTAAATTATATTAAACATTTGGGGTTGAATATTAAATTTGTTCAGTACTAACTGCTACATCAATAATGAATGGCTATTTTGTTATTTAAATTGACATGGTGTATTTAGTCAATATTAGAATTTTTTATTTTATTGATGATGGTAATTTCTGCTAAACACATTGAGACTGGACTACACCAATTTCATGTTATATTTCATTTTGTTGTGTCCAAGTGTGCATTTTTAGACGAGAGGTGAACCATCACCTTCAGTATCTGTCTTAAACACATGCAATGCTTTGTCACTCTCTTTTAACACTTCTACAGCTCTGTTGGGCAACACCAGTGCTTTCTCATCTACTTGGCCTTGATATGACGACCCTAATGTCTACTATTTGAAATATGCAGCTTGGTAGAAATGAATTTGCATGAGTGCAGATATTAGATAATGTGAAATTCTATAGATATTCTTAAGAATCCCTTTAGTCTAATTGATTTTGATGATTTGTTGTTGCTTTATAGATTGTTTGGAAGCCTGCGATTGTCATTTTGACATCAATAGTGATCAATAATCCTCCATGTCTTTTCCTAACAGAGCAGCGCACAAAGGTCCCACCGAACCAGTAGTGCTGATTAACAAAGTACCTGTTTGATACTAAGTGCTCCTGTCAGCTCTCTCACATTTAATTAGTAGAACGCAATAAAATGCCTTCACAAATGACACACTGCTTCTACTTTATTAGTTTATTGGCTTTCCCTGGTTCAGTCTCTGAATGGCCTTATTTAGAAAGACGTGCCAAGCAGGCAAGCGTTTTTGTGACTTATCTGTTTTGGCCTGTTTTACTGTCTGGAGCAGCATATTTGAAGGTACAGTTGGTATTTTCTTCTCCTCCGTGCTTGTGGGATTTTTATGCATGATGTAAGATATGTGTATGTATTTCGAGTGAAAAACTGAATGTCTTGCTGTCATACCTCAAAGGCATGTTTGTACAAGTATGACATTTGATGTTGCACTAGGATGGACCTCTTGAGGTTTCCTCCGTTTCCTGAGGATTTGTTATACTTGATTTTACATAATTTTATTAGTTTTGGTATTGATATTGGTTTTGTGTCTGGGATAGTTTTTTTTTTCTTGTTTGTTTTGTGTGTTTCTTCATGTGACAAATAAAAATTATGTCATACAAGAAAGCTTAAAAAAAAATTCAGAAAGGTGCCATAATATTACTACACTTGTCATTTAATGTTTTTTTTTTCATATTTGTACATCACTATTCTTTTTTTTTTTTTTCTGTTTGTGTGTTAACCATATTTTGGGGACCTCCTCATTTGTAATATGGTCTAAAAGTAACCTTTCTTAAATTGTAGAATTGCAGAAGGTTTTCTGTTAGGGTTAGGTTATTGTATTTAAAACTAGCTGTACATAAAAACAGCTGAGGTCTATTCAGTGTCCCCATTTATGTACTGTAGTTAAGTAAATGTGTGTTTGTATGCATGTTGATTTTCTTTTTTTTTTTTTTCTGTTTGTGTGTTAACCATATTTTGGGGACCTCCTCATTTGTAATATGGTCTAAAAGTAACCTTTCTTAAATTGTAGAATTGCAGAAGGTTTTCTGTTAGGGTTAGGTTATTGTATTTAAAACTAGCTGTACATAAAAACAGCAGAGGTCTATTCAGTGTCCCCATTTATGTACTGTAGTTAAGTAAATGTGTGTTTGTATGCATGTTGATTGCACACTTTCTGCAGAAGTAACCATTCTCTTCATACTGTACCTGTGGTTTTGTCACCTGGAAAAGATAAGAGAGACTCACAGTTGATAGGAATCACATGTGTCATGTCTCATTTGTTCATTGTGACAGAAGTCAACTCTGAATGAATCTCCATGGTCATGTGGTTGTGTACGAGAATAGGAATGTTGTTGATTTGAATCTCTTTTTTCTTTTGTAGATAGATAAGTTTGAACAGAACAGGGACTCTGTGTACTTCAAGGATGGTGTTCGGCACATCGATTTTGTCCTGTCCTACGTTGACGACAAGGATGGAGACAAGAAAGCGGTATGCCACTAATATACAGAACTTTCATAGTAATTTTATTAATGCACGTCTAAAACATGACGCTTGTTTATTTGTCATTTATCTGTTAATTCATACATTTAGAAAAAGCAAAACACTCATGACAGTTTTTTTTCTTTTTTGCTACTCTCAATAATTGTTTGTTTTCCACAATCATGATCTCATTATGCATTTTTATGCAGGAATGCTAATTGGTGTGCATTCTCTCCTAAATGTTCTGTACTTGGCCTTGTTAAGCAATCAAACAATGACTGATGCTTAATATTGCTCATTGTGTTAAAAAATAGTCTGATGGGGACCTGTACGTAGGCGTGCAGTGGTGGTGAGATGGGGTGCGATGTCTGCTGGGTCATAAGGCACAGTGGTAAAACAGTGAGTCAGAGTCAGATTGAAGCTGTTGCACAATAAACTGAATGCTAAACATTGATTGCATAAAACAAGGGGTCAACCACTTCTCTCTCATCAGACCCTTCATTGACACTGAAGGGTTTGCTGGTGAACCTGTTTGATCTGTTTTCTCCTGTATGCAGAGGTTGATGCGTGGTCAGGCTCTCTGCTTAATGAAGGTCATATCCCTTGAGTCACCTGTTTGAGATGGTGTTCCATAAGATAAGATGGAAGTAGCTATAGGTCACCGGTGCTTGTGGGAAATACGAGTTTTCTCTAAAGACGTAGTTCAAAGCTTGTTTACAACCCTCAGAACCTTAAATGTCACACTGTTACCAGATACAAAGCTCAATGAATAGATTACTTAAGTAATGATAAAAAAAGAAAGAGACCATGAATGATATGGTTGAAAACACCTGTTTTTGTGTGTTGTTTTTCCTCCAGGAGAGAAGAAGAGAGTTTGAAGCCAACCTGGAGAAGGCTGGTCTTGAGCTGGAGGCTGAAGATAAATCGGTGAGGTTCTGAGCCACACATGCCCCCTCATGGTTGCACTTCTATTGTGCATCTTTATTTTATTTTATTTTATTTATTTTATATTTTATAAAATTTTTCTCCTATACCGAAGCACAGAGCTTTATCTTTTTATATATATAAATGCATTACTTCATTTGATACGTCATTTGATGTGATTTTGTGCATTCACATATAACACTTCTCCACTCAAAAATATCTTCCCCTGCAGGAGTCAGATGACCGTAAGACGTATTATCTGAAGATTCACGCTCCGTGGGAAGTGTTGGCCACCTATGCTGATGTGCTAAAGATCAAAGTGCCCTTTAAAGCGAGTGATATTCCCAAAGCTCGAGAAGTTCCTCTGGAGTGGCTCACTCAACCTTTCCGGCTGCCAGACAATGTCATGAGGCCAGAGCCGGACTACTTCACTGCACCTTTTGACAAGAGCAAGGTCGACTTCTTCCTCATTGATGATGAGGACACATTTTTTCCTCCATCCACTCGCAACAGGATCGTGTACTACATTCTGACCCGCTGCCCTTATTACAAGGAAGACCGTAAAGAGAAAGATAAGACAGGAATTAAACGTCTGCTGAACAACGGCACCTACACTTCAGCTTATCCCCTTCATGATGTGAGTGTGAGATTTATGCACTTTATTCTATCTATCTATCTATCTATCTATCTATCTATGATTTTTTTATATATATAAATTAATACTTTTACTTTTATTAATTAAGGATGCTTTAAATTGATCAAAAGTGGCAATACATTTTTACTGTAGTGACTTAGTAGTGACTTTTACATTGTTACAAAAAATATATATTAAATTATTATTTAATTATTAATGCCATCAGAGAAATAAATTACATTTAAAAAATAATAAAAATTGAAAACAGCTATTTTAAATTGTAATGATATTACACAATAACAATACAGTTTTACTGTGTTTTGATCAAATAAATGTATCCTTGGTGCACACAACAGACTCCTTTTAAAAACATTAAAAAAAAAAATCTTACCAACCTCAAAGACAAAAAAGTTCCCTTGCATGTTAAAAGAGTTTGTGCCTTTGGTCAACATCTGATTGCTGTTTTTTCCTCAGTGTAAGTATTGGAAGAAGGCACAAGACATGCAGTGTGAGAGTGAGAGGTATCATCTGTATAAAAACTGGGCTCGATTCCTCTGCTTCTACAAGAAGCAACCACTCAATCTGATCAAGTGAGGACACTGCAGACACAATGCATGCATACCTGTCAAAGATTGCAATAACCAAATCTGGAGCAGATGCATGTTCATTACACTGCTGATTGCAATATTACATCCCAGTAGAAGAAATTATTAACCTCACTTTTCTAGAGCAGCATATGAAACCATAGTGTTTAATTTCCTCTTTTTGTTTTGTCATAGGAAGTACTATGGTGAGAAGATTGGTATCTACTTTGCCTGGCTGGGCTTTTACACAGAAATGCTGTTTTTTGCTGCAGTCATGGGTGTCATCTGTTTTGTTTACGGTGTGCTTAGTTATGAAGACAACATCACAAGGTTAGTATCACTGGAAGGTTACATGGGTCAAATGAACACACATCCTTGCCTCCTGAGTCTGAAACTATGTGGTTGCATGCATTCTTAACAACCCTTTGCTATTTGTTATTTGCAGTTGAACACTAAATATTGTTATATTGAATGAGATGGTTTATATTTTTTGTTCTTTTGTAAACCGTAACGTCTGATAGGTGTTATAATGTATTAGTCAAATGTTTTCGCCACAGAAAACAAAGTAATTGTGACTTTTTATCTCACAAAGTCAGAATTGCTAAACTCAGCATTGAGATATGAACTCAGAATTGTGAGATTCTGAATTGTGAATTGTGGGGAAAAGGCTGAATTGCGAGATGTGAAGTAAAAATTCTGAGAAAAAAAAATCATAATTGTAAGACATAAATTGAGAATTGTGACATGTTAACTCAGAAATGCATGAAAAAAGTCAGAATTCTGAGTTTATATCTTGCACTTTTGACTTTTTTCATAGAACTGCGAGAAACAAAGTGTGAATTGTGAGATAAAAAGTCACTTTTTTTTGTTCCATGGTGGAAACGGGCTTCCATAGTATATGACAGTGTCTTAAAAAAAACAATTCTGTTTTGTATAACAAGCAAAACCATTATGGGCACATACAATCTGTAATAGATGGACTCTGGAGCCTAGATGCGTTTGTTTTTCTAGATTGCAGAGCTAAAGATGTTTGTGGAACATGCTCATAATATGGTGTTTGTTGTTAAACCTGAGTGGTTCATTTGTGCACAAGTTTTCCATGGTGTGTTGATACTGTTTTCTACTTCACTGATGTAATGCAGTCAGAGGGTGAACTGAGATTTTGGTCATATTCACTTCTGCATTACAGTAATATTTCTCTCTGTTGCTCTCCTCCTCCCTGTTTTCAGCAAGGAGATCTGTGACCCAGAAATCGGTGGGATGATTGTCATGTGTCCACTCTGTGATAAAAAGTGCAGCTACTGGAAACTCAACTCAACATGTCTGTCCTCCTGGGTGAGAAATATTTTAGATTCACCGTTTGAAACATAAATAATGATTTCCCTTCATCATAGAATGATCGTTTTTTTTCCTTTAGCAATCCCATCTATTTGATAACGAGGGGACTGTCTTCTTTGCCATGTTCATGGGTATTTGGGGTGAGTGCACTCTGATTGTTTAAAATACTAGCTCAATAGCTCTATCTAGTGGTTAGATGGAAATTGCTAGTCAGACTCCAGATCTAATGAGAGATTAGCAACTGTGCATGAAGCAGTTTAGTGTATTCATAATGTCAAATAATTGGGCACAGAATTTGTTCACTAGATAAGTCTACAATGAAGGAACATAATTTGTCTATGCTTTTTGAAAAAGTATCTTTAATTACTTGTAGGGTAGTGGTGCATGTTGATTATCCATTACTGAACACTGAATTCTTTTCACACAGGCCTCAAAAATGAGCTCTGCTTATGCAGTGATTTGATTAATCAGCACTGTGTGAATATTTCTGCACCCAGTGTGCTGTGTACTCATAAATTAAAAATGGTTTATTTAGCTTCTAAACTTTTGTTAGACCTTGTTTGAGTACAATTATTGTAAAGAAGAAAACAACACTGTGTGACACCATAGGGTGAAGCTGGTTAGATTTAAATAGAATTGATAGTAAGTGTGAATGTGATGCTCCTAAATAATGTATTTGTTATTTTTTCTGCTCTGTTTCTCACTTTCTTTCTCTGGGTGCTTTGCAGTGACCCTGTTCCTGGAGTTCTGGAAGCGGCGGCAGGCCCGTCTGGAGTATGAGTGGGACCTTGTGGACTTTGAGGAGGAACAGCAGCAGCTACAGATCAGACCAGAGTATGAGTTGAAATGCTCAGGCCGTAGACTCAACCACATCACGCAGGTACCTGCAAACATCACGGCGTGATTAAACACATGACCCTGCATCAACATCATGGAGCCAACACACTTTTTAAACATTCATAAGCCTCACTCTAATCAAAACAATAACCTACCCTTAAATTCATGCATAAGAAAATTATAAATGCATAATAAAAATAAGCCTTTTCATTCCATATTGCAATTTAAATAGAATATAAATTAATGGTTTAGTTCATTATAAATACTGTGGTTGATTGAGAATATAAGAGAAGACATGCCCATAAGGAGTAAATAATTGCGGGTGGAGAATGAAAACCAACATATTAATGGTTAAAAAACTGAAGATCTGCACATCATAGAGCTCCCGCTGACAGGATGTTTCAGGCAGATAACGCTATCTTGAAATAGCCTTTATCACGTGGTGATTTGTGACCTAGAATCTGCCTGATATCTTTCAAATAATTTGCATGATCTGAGTAAATATTTGCATTTGTCTTGTGCACAAACTGGTTTTCGCCACTTCATTTAACATATCATCATAATGGACCCTTTTCACAAGACTGTGATGAGGTGTTTCAACGGTTTTCAAGTTTTTTGTATTTTCTTTTATTGAAAAAAATGTATGTACACTATACTTTTTATTACATTACCTTTGCATCAAATTACAAAAAACTAGTTAACGCTATTGCGAGGGAGTTTCTAATACAGAGTCTATAGAAGTGACGGTAAATTTGACATCGTTCTCTCAACTCACTGCCTTTATCAGTCATGAAAACGCTATCATGGAGTTTTTCTTTTGCTATTTGAGCAAATGGGAATGCAAAAAAATTATTTGTGGTAGTCTCCCATTCACTGCTATAGACGTTTACCCAACTATGACGACTTCTGCTGAAATGTGAAAAAGATCCATCATGGCAAAAGTCTTGCCTCTGCCTTGCTCCCAGATATTCTGCTGTAAATTCAACCATTTTAATTATTGTTCCATTTCACAAATACTGTTCACAGATGTTCTCAATATAAATTCAAATTTATGTCAAGAGTTATTTGTAAAGATGCTCTGATCAACCGGAATTAGCAGATTTTCTGCATGATTGGCCCGGACCGGTGACCAGCTGGTCAGTCTCACGTCTGTTTTGACGTCACAGCTACGCTCACATCCACATGTAAACATGTCATCGACATGGAAGTTTTACACTGTGAGTGAAAAAGACACAGAGTTCGTAATCTGTATTACGAGTTGGGCCAAAGTAAACTGTAGGGAAACCATAGGGCTTGATTAAAATTCATTACCAGTGTATTAGGGTCAAAAGGAAATGATGATAATAATTGAAACATCCTTAGCTTGTACATCTCTTTCATGTTAAAAATCCCAGATTCTGGTGCTTTTAATCTTTTAGTAAATCATTTAAAATTACATGATACCTACAAATAGTCAGAATGTATAAAGCTACTTGGTTGGCATGAAGCTTCATCTGGATAACCAGAAGCAAATTTTTGTGTTCAAGGTATGAAAATTTACACAGGTAAAGGTTTCATGAACATTAGAAAACAACATGTAATCTGTGTGATTGTTAAACACCTCGGGTAAATAATTTGAAAAGTAGATCTGTCAAATGAGAAAAGTTCAGTCATACATTTAAAACGTTTTCTGAAGTAAAAAAGGAAAACTAGTCTGTATTAGACCTACACATCGATATGCCAAATTAACAGCATGATGAATATATTGTTTTCCAGCTATCGGGACTACAGATACCCACCTGGGCATGAAAAGCAATACACACACACAATGCAGTTCTGGCATATCTTGGCTGCTAAGCTAGCCTTCATCGTCATTATGGAAGTAAGAAATTTGCATAACATAAAAGGCTTCTAATTTCAATTTAGGGGTGTACTCGCACTAGGCAATCTGAACCATGCCCGAGCGTGTTTGACTAGTGTGATCGCTCCGTAGATTCGTTTAGCCGTCCATGGCTCGCTTGGAAGAGGTGGGCCAGAGAGCACGGTTCAGTTGGGCTGTAGTGAGACTGCACAGAACTGCTACTATTTTGTGTGCACTACTGTCATCATTACGACCGCAAACATCATCTATTACTACTACTACAGTACACTTCAATTCATTTAATTAAATCAAGTATATTTAGGTTTATAACGTGTCTGGTTCTTAATGAACAGGAATTTTAGTTTGTGGATAAAGCTGCAAATTATTTCATTAACGTCAGCTGTCTCTGTAATAATCCTCTCTGATACACGCAAGTGAAAACCGCTGCACGGCATAAATTAATTTATTAGGCAGTCTATTAGCGAAAGTGGTTTTCTCCGTTATCCGGCCCGGAATGTTTAGTGCAAGTGTGAGTGCAGGCCAGCGGGGGAGTGGGGACTGCTCAATAAAGCTTTGCATATGGATCCGCACGTCTCACGTCTCGTCAGCCCCGTAACAATATGTACCCGAAGTTAAATGTGACAATCGTTTCATTATAAAAAAAAATATTTAAAAAAGTTATTCACTTAGTTTAGGATATTTGTGTATTCAGATGAGTACATGTCACTCCTGCATTTGCCTTAATAACTCATAATGATACTCGTGTATGTGTATATTGTTTGTTGGTCCTCTTATTTATTTGGTCTACAAATGTTCACAGAATAAGTTTAGTTTAGTTTTATTTAAAATTTGACATGTTAAACATTAAAGTTGCATGAATCCGTGAGAAAAAGTACGTTTATGACTAACCATGAATCAAGTTTATAAAAGAAAGCATTGTCTCCAACGACGAGAACGTGCCAAAATAAAGTGATTGAAGTATATTACACGTGTTCAGCACTTGTTGGGCGTCCTCTGCGAATACGGTCATGAACACAAGGGGGCGTCTGCGCTTCACTAAACGCGCTCTCGACTACCTGTTGTGGGAAGCTTTCAAGAACGCAAAGCGTCGCGACTGCGCAGAGTTACTTTCCTATAAAGAGGTTTGTGATTTAGCAGGATATCAAAATAAAAAAATACGATATTATCTTATCAAAATACCCCCTTCGTTATGCTCAACCATAAGAAACTGACTTAAATTAATAATAGCTTGCACCTGGTCTGTATTTGCTTCGAATTCGGCGAACGTGTACATACAATAGCAGTTTTTATTTATTTATTTTTGCTGTGAAGGACTGCTACAGAGAGAGGGAGGGGGACTGTGAGCTATGTATGAATTATTAATACGCTTTCCTTCACACCAGCACACGGGGAAACACCCCTCATTCGGTTTCCATAGCACCGCCCCCAGGAGGCTTGCACGGCCTTTGATGGAAAACAAGCAATAGGCATAAAAGCACAAATGTAGAAACTTAGAATGTCAGGTCACGTGCCCGTCATGATTTAAGCATCGAAAAACTATCATTTGTCGCTCGTGGAACATAATTCAGATCATTTGAGGGCAAAATCAAAGAAAATGTGAATGGAATGTGAACATTGTCCGCCCTCTCTTACCCCTCCCAAAGCAGTGAACCGCTGCTGGCGCTCTGACGGGAGGGATCAGTTGGTGAAGGAGTGGCGGGGGAGCTCGCGCCGCTCTGAACGCGAGACTGTCGCTGACCTTGGTGCTGAAATCTATTCACTTCTTTCTAAAGCTACTTAACTGTCGCTTTGCACCGAAAAACTGACGTTCCGAGACGAGGAATTGGTCACCTTTTAATTTTTTTCCTCTTAATTAACCATTCATCGTTTTTGTAAATCCGATTTTTTTTCAACACCGTCAATTTGAAGCGAACATAAATTCGTTGACTCAAATCTGAGATGGCGTCGCGTGCTCTTATCGCGCGCGGGGCAGTTTATGAGTTTATAACTATGAGTAGACAGAGCCAGACCACTTCTGATATCTCTCGTGTTTAGGCGGATTTTTTTTTCTTCGCTCCGTGAACACCGTCGTGAATTTTCCTCATCTGTCTTACTGAATCACTGATCCGCTGGGTATCGGTCCGGTATGCTCTGTCATTTCACACTGTGACATGGTACTTTAACATTCCCGGGTAAACGAGGGATTATCACATTTGGACATGGAGACTCCGAGGGAGCCTGGTTTTATGCCCAGCAAAGAGGGGCTGAAGCAACTAGCGGGGAAGGCACTGGGGCACGTGCACAAGTAAGATATTTTAACATTATAAAACGGATTCAGTCATTTAAAAATAATAGGCCTAAGTTTGTGTGTGCGCGTGTGATTTACGCGAACTAATGTTATAACAGAACAGAAAATCACGAATTTGCAGCTAGTTTTGTCTATTCAATAACGAGTTTCCCCAGTCGCTGTCATGAAGACGTGAAGAAAATGATGGCAGGAGGGGATGGAAGCATGCGAGTTTTCCTATCTGTGAAGGTTGTCATTGTAATCCGGTGATTCAAATGCATTTTCGATTGAATAGTAATCGTTCAATTAGAGGATTCCCTTGAGTGCACCTTCCTTTTTAGAGACCATTCACTTATTCCCGTAATAGGCTACCTGCAAAAAAGACCGCGATTGAAATCATACGAGAAAATTGGGCTGTACATATTTATTTCACGTTGATTTGATGCTCCTTTGTATTGAGTCGTTTTGTGCGTGTGTCTTGTAAAAAAATCTTTGAAATCTACGAGGAGAGTAAAAATAAATAAATAAATAAAGATCGACCGCCACGACCATCTGAACGAATTTTTCTTTCGAAACTGAAAAACCTTTTTTCCCCCCCGAGCACTACCTTTAATAAATAAATATCTCCTCATCTTTTCGTTTGCTTATAGACATTTTGTAGTCTCTGGTTATTTTCCAAAATATTAGGTCATTGTCTTTTATTTGTCATCTGAGATTAAAAACGGAATTGACAATTATAATGCAGTTAATGTGCATTTTATGCATTTTCAAAAGATCACAAAATAAAATGCATTTTATTCCCGTCACATTTGCAAATGTGATTTATGAAATAAAAATTGCATATGCCTGAAATGAAATTGTATTTCTTTTTTATATAAAAAAATGTATAGGCTATACATTTTGCACATCAAGTTATATAATTTATCTTGATACAATCTGC